CCTAGAAGCTGTTATTTTGATTTTTCATAGTCCCTTGTTATTTTTAACAAGGTTTTTTTGGATGATTGACAACCACAAACCTACCTTCTAGATCTTATAGTCTATCTTCACATTGGTTGACTCTGCTAACTATTCTTTCAATAGAATTTTAATACTCTGGATAATTATATGAGTATGATTTATGGAATCCATGTCTTTTCTATGTTGGGTAGTCATGGTCCCCATGTCTTTCATAAGCTACTCTATTTTTAAAAAATCTGCATCTACTCTAGATTCACTAACAATTTCTTTCATTATGCTCATCATCTCTGTCGTATACTTTTTATCACTCTGAGACAGTAGGCATTGGCATATGAAGAAGATCAGTTGATCACAACTATGTCATCATGGCTAAAGTAGTATAATCAGTAATAAAAATAACATTACAGACTAAAAATGTCAAACTGTGAAAAATAATAATTTGTGAGATGTGCAAATACATAACAAAATCTGAGATAAATCAGAAAATTATATACAATAAATATCTACTCAATAGGGCAATTTTACATGAGAGGAAGAAGTAATAGAGGACAAAGCAAAGAAATGAAAGAAGAAAAGATTAGAAGCAAGACTGAAGGACAAAGGAAAATTATGCAAGCCTCAGGAAATGGGTAAAGAAGACAGGAAGGAAGGAAAGAAGGAGAAAGCAAAAAGAGCAACAAAAAAGTATTAAAGTAGATGTTCATATTCACAAAAAATGAACAACAGGCAAGCAAAACAAACAAACAAAAAACCAAAAGCAGAGGGAAAAAAAGACAAATTTCTCTGTGACTTTAAGCTTGTGGTTATCTTCTGGAGATCTATAGTTTTATGGCAGTGTGGCCCTACTCTTTCTGGTATACAAGGGTGTGCATTCAGAGTCCAGATTAATGCTGGCTAATCCCAGGAAGCTGTCAGTAAAATTAAGGCAGAGTGATAATTCTGGGACTTTCAAATCCACAGAAATTCAAATCAATCCTGGCTTTTGCTCATAAAGGTGGAACTTGGGTTGTTTAGTTTTTAACACTCTGGGTGTCTCTTAACAGCCTGGTCACAGTTCCCTGACCATGTATATCTGCTATGGTTGTCCTTCACCCAGTCAGTCCTATAGGATTTTAACACAGGGAGCCCTGACTGAAATAAAGCCAACACACAGCTTCTCTGAGTCCAAGGTTCAGGTAACTCCTTCCTAGAGTGATGTCCCTCCAAGCCCTTTCTCCAGAGAATGTGGCAGCCATTTAGACTGGAGTCACCTTCTGGTATAGCATTCATTGTCCACTGCTATGTTCCATTGGTAGTTTGCTCTCCGAAGGTTTCTGAAGTCACCAGCTTTTACTATGCTTCTGTAAATTCAGTCTTCCGTTCTCATACCACAACACAGGTGACAGAGAGAAAATATAGATCATCCCTTCCTTTTTGTCTGTGGACTCCAATTTTTCTTTCAGATTCTTCCTGGTACTGAGAATCCAATTTGGTCCTTCTTTTCTTCCCCAATTTGTTATTTTCCACTGTTTGGATTCTGAATCCTGAAGAAGCTGATTTATTGCTGCTTATCACTCTGACATCTTCCTAGAAGTCTTGCAGCAGAATTTTATTAGGTATTGCACACAGTACATTTTCTTTGAAGATGGTTTGAAAACATTTAATAACTTGAAACAATACATTGAAAAACTGGCTGCTGGCTCATATAACATAAAACAGACCCAGGATGAAGAGAAACAACATCTAACTATATTCTGAGCCTTAGTAAAACTCTCTCTTCAGCTTGATCAGAAAGAAAATTCCCAAAGTTGGCAAGGAGAATGCAGACTGCATCAGCTCCAGGGTGATAAGGAGTACAGCAGTAAAAAGAAGGGGTATCTGCTAAAGAGAAGTGATGGGGTCCAGAAAATGTGACAGAGAAGGAAGTGTTCCATCAAGGATAGGTTCTGACTATCTCATATGCAGCTTCTAACAGGCATTCATTCAAGTTGAACCTGCTTACCTGCCAGGCAAAACCACATGCTGAGGACAAGAAGTTCTTTGAGTTGACATCACATAGCAAGATGTATCACTTTCAGACAGAAAGAGTGGGATTATGTAGCACAGATATCAATACTGACAAATAGCAGAGACCCCACACATGGCCTTTCGAGGTAAGCAGAGGACTGGAGAGAACAGCTTGGAAAGCTCTGATGAAAGTCATCGGAAGATGTCAAGTGGCTTTCTTGGAAAAATTTTTGCTGCAACTGTGGTTTGTCAGAATCCATACTGTTTTCAACCAACTTGAATATTTTGACTTGTATAGAATATTCTGGCATCCACAGACAAATGGGGGGCATCCATCTTTCTCACATTTGGTCTTTAGCACTACACAAATAAAAAAAACTTCTGAATTCTTGTTGATCAAGAACATAGGAAACAAAATTATTATTATTATATTTTAGAGAAGGGTCTACAGGGTGTTCAGGATCTCAAAACTAGATTGGACTCATAGTGATCCACCTGAGGAAACAATATTATTAATGAAACTATGGAAGCAAATTATCCAGCCCCTCACCAAAACCTGATCTCTCAAGTGATACAACTATATAAAGAGAGTTTATCACTGTAAAGCATGTAGACCATAGATTCTCAAGGAAAATCTGTTCCTCCTTATCAACTAAGTTGAATGAATTTCTTAAAGCCATGAAATCCAGAGATTTAGAGCAGGATTGTCTATTGTGGACGTTAGTATTGACAAATACCAAAGAAGAGACTTGTTCTAATTCAAGTCTATGCAAATGGGGCAAAACTAATAGAACCATTGTTGGAAGCTGGACAGGAGCTCAAGGAGATGGCCCTTGATATTAGCACATGAATTGCAAACCAGATATCTTTGCACTTTGTTGAGTCCTTGTACAAAACTGTAGGAACCTGGATAAGAAGGTCTTCATGAGAAATAAAGCTCCCACTACTATACTGTGTATAGTGAGCACAAGTCTTTTTTTTTTTAATGTATTTAGTACAGGGTCTACAGGGTTTCCCTGCACAGATCAGACTCAGTGATTTTCCTATTTTTAGCCTCCCAAGTTCTGGGATTATACGTGTGTACCACCATGCCCAGTCTCAATTGTTGTCTCATTGAGCCCCAGGGGCTGGGCCAGCACGGCACACTCAGGATTGAACCCCAATCCCTGTGTCTGCCTAAACAGGCACTAATCCTCTAAACTATCTGGCCTACCCTAGGCACAAGTCTTTGAAGCTTCTTCTCAGAGGCAAGTCCACTGTGGACATTGTGAACCAAGCTGAAGAAACTGCCATGGACATAGCAGAGACTCAAAGCTACCAGGTATGAAGATCTACTTTCCCAGACTAAACATGGTAAATTTAACCCTCCCATCCATATTGAATGAGTAGAAATTTTGATAGGAGGAGATGAATGAAAGTGATGATGACCTCAATGACCAACCAAGCCTAGTCAAGAAAGAGCGCCCACCCAAACCCCAAAGCTTCTGGTACTCCTCCAGCAGGACAAACTGGCACTGCCAGGATTCAGCACTCCATGGGACAAGCAATAACTCTCTTATGGAGCCAGACGTCTGATTCTATGAGCAAGCCTCACCCATGTCACCAACCCTCAGAGGCTCCCTCCTCCCTCTTGAGAACACCAGGAAATGTCCAACTAGGCTGCCTTTACCATTCCCTCTAAGCACCCAGATGTCTGGTGACAACTCCACCCCTATCCAAGGAGAGCTTCCTCCCATCCTACCCAGACTAGAGAGAACCTTGTCCAGCCCATCCAGCCCACTACCTCATGGTGCCCACACAAAGGCACAGCTACTAGGGCTAACCATGTGGGCCCATCATCTTCAAGACAGACTTCTCACAGTTTGAGTGACTGTTGCAACAAGCAAGAACCAGTTCTTCAAAGTCTGCCCTTGAACCCAGAGTACTTCCTAAACTGCCTCATAATGTATCACTAAGAGAAACAGAAACAAGCCACCATCTTTCCCTAGACAAAGCCAACATCCCACCCATGATTTTTCAGAAATCACAACTGGCAGAATTACCACAACACCACCACCTGGAGACATGCCCTCAAAGCTCATAGAACTGGCTCCCCCAGCTTTAGACTTCAGACTTACCTCCCAGATTTATCTCACAAATGAAGAACCTGTTAACAAAACCACAGCTAAGAAAGCTGTTGGCAAAATCCCAGACTGGTGTCTCGCATAAGTCATATTTAAGAGATTCCCATGGTTATCTTCAGTAGTCTTTAAGAAAAGTTTTATAATTTTCCAAATGGAACTTGCACCTTTGCTCCAGACATGGTACACACACCTGTAATCCCATCATTTAGAGGACTGAGGCAGGAATATTGCTTCATGTTTGAGATAATCCTGGGGTACATAGTGAGCTCAAGGCCATCCTGAACTACGTAGTGAGACCTCATCTTTAAAAAAAAATGATGTCAAAAAAGAAGTTGTACCTTTGCTACAAAATACTTATTCCTAAGTTGTTCACATTTTTGAGACTGTTCTAAACTACATCTTCTTAAAATAAAATTTGAGAAATGTTAAAAAAAAAGAGTTGTGAAATTTGCATTATACCAAGGACAGGTTCCTTTAAGAACAGTTTGGAAAAATGTGCCCTCATACTTCCTAAGAGCAGTACATATAGAAATGAGAATAGCCCTCCATCTAGCAATTCTATTTCTAGACTTTACCCTCAGGAGAAATTCACTGTGTGAGTGTACAAGAATACTTACATGATGATATTTATTCCAGCACTGCACAAAATATAAAAGGAAAGGAGCAGGGGACAAAAGGGAAAGGAGGAAGGGAGAGAAGAAAAGAAGCAGGGGTAATCTGGGAGAATATGTCCAAGAAAAAAAAATACAGCACATATATAGCATACATAAAGTATATGTATGCTATGAAAAATTATTTAAATCTTTTATTAGTTACTTTCTGGACTCTGGGGCAAAATACACAACACTCACAATACAAAAGAAGAGGTGTGCTTGCTTTAGCAGCACACACTAAAATTGGAATGATACAGAGAAGATTGGAATGGCCCCTGCACAAGAAGGGCACACAAACGCATGCAGTGCTCTGTATTTTTGAAAGAAGGGAAAAAGATATTCATGTGTATATGCAGGATAGTTTAGATAATTGTACTGCTGATTTCTGCTAATCTATTGAAAGGAGTAGTTAATGCTTAAATTTAAATTTTTTTTCTTTTTAATTTCTCATAACTTTTTCTTTTCTTTCTTTCTTTCTTTCTTTCTTTCTTTCTTTCTTTCTTTCTTTCTTTTTCTTTTACTAATTTTGCAGGGTTTTTTCACATTGATTAGCTCATGGTCTGAGCAACTCCATCGAAGGCAGGAAAGTGTAGTACAAAAACCACGGTGGAATACCCCTCATCTTATAAATGTGGACCATTTTTAGTGTCTTATCAATTAATATTCTCTCTTTAAAATAAATTTTAAAAACCTAAAGAAAAAAGGATAAGAAAAAGTTTTATTCAAAGTAAGCATTAAAATTTAATTAATTATTTGATCAGTTTAGTGTTACTTATATCTGTTAATCTGAACAACAGATTTTAACAATGAAAATATGTACTATAATAACCATTGCTAAATTTTTATTCTTGTTTTGAAACTCTGTATCATGTGCACTGCCACTTGTTGCTCTTTTTGTCTTTGTTTCTGCTGTTTTTACTCTTTAAAAGTAAAATAAATAAAATGAAATAAATTTTTCATGTTTATATCTGATAACCTAAACAACTAATTTGAAGATAACATTATGCAATACAATAATCACTGCCAAATTCCTATTACTTTGTTAATTGAAATTTTATATCATTTCTTTTCTTTTCTTTTTTCTTTTTTTTCTTTTTCTTTTTTTTTTTTTTACCATTTTATGCTCTTTAAAAAATAAAAATAAAAAAAGAAGGGTTTTTGTTTCAGAGGGTTCAGTCCATGCACAGTGTGCTGGCTCCAAGGAAGAAACAGCAGGGTGAAAGAACATTACCAGGGAGATTCCTCAACCATGGCAGCCAAAAGGCAGAGGATGAAGGTGGTGGGTATTAGAGCCTAGACTCATGCAGAATCACCAGGCCAGACACTCTGACACAAAAAAGTGATTTATTGGAGGTAGGAGCAAGTGGGAAGACTGTGTAGCAGACTGAGACCACCCCAAACAAAAGGGGACAGGAGATTTTACAGGATTTTTAGGACAGGGTGTTTGCAAGCTGGACCAGCCAAGGGAGAGCTAATCTAGGTAAGGCCATGATGTTCCAGGAAAGGAAGGTCCTGTGGTTTTGCCCTGGCTTGGGCCCAAAATACAAAGTTGGGCAGAGTTGTTTTTGTGGTTTTAAGGGTCTTGACTTATCGTTTTGGACTCTGTTTGATAGGAAAGAGGGCACTGAAGTCATCTGGCTACTTCCTACTGGCTGGGGGTTGTGAGGGGTCAGAATCTGGGTATGAGGAGGAGTCAGAGGAAAGTGTACAGTAGTCTTGTGTCAGTTTCTGTTGGGCTAGAGTCTGGTAAGAGTAGTCTGAGAGAAGCATTTGCTTAAAATTTTTGGATTGTTGGGGTGGGGAGATAGCTCAGTAGAACAAACACTTGCCTGGCAAGTGCAAGGGCTTGAGTTCAATCCCCAGTTCTGCAAATAAATAAATAAATAAAAGTTTGGATTGTTAATCTGGTGACAGTATCGTGGATGAGGGAAATGAAGCAGGGGAGCTATCATGGGCACAATAACAAGCCCTGTGAGGCACCCTAGAAGGGGAGTGAGCCAAGAGAAGATGGAGTAAGTCTAGTTGTTCAGAAAGGTCAGCCACTGGAATGAGATCTGGGCCCTGTCTCTGTCCCTGGATCCTGATTGTTATTCCCTATTTTTCAGTAGTATGAAAGTGAAAGGGCTGTGAGGGGTCTGGAAGGGCAAGAGCTCATGCCTGGAGGACAGTGTCTCTTAAATCATTCAAAGCCTGGAGGATGACCCCTAGGCTGGTGGGGGCTTTTCAGGGTGTCCTCAGATTTCCTCATAGAGAGGTCATGCCGGGAGGGCAAACCCCAGGATCCAGAGGCAGAAGGACCCCATGCATCCCAGGAAGGACTGTATTTGTGTTTCTGTGGTGGGGGAATTACATAGTAAAGGGCCTCTCTATGATGGAGAGTGAAGTCCCTGGTGTATGGGGAGCTGGAACCCCAAATATCACAAAGTGGAAAGGGAGAGTTGGGCCTTAAATTTAGAGACCCAGTACCCCTTCTGAGTCAGGAAGTTAAGTGAGAGTACTGTGTGTTGGTGGGAGAGTGTGAGGGAGGGACTACAGAATAAGATATCATCCACATACAGGAGCAGGTGGCTGGGCCAGATATCCTGGGTGGCAAGATCGGCCATAAGAGCTTGGCCAAAGTAATGAGGACTATCCTAGACATCTTCAGATAGGACTGCCCATGTTAGTTGGGAGGTGATGTGGATCACAGGATCTTCACAGGTGGAAGCAAAGAGGGAGTAAGAGGAAGGATGAAGAGGAATGGTGAAGAAGGCGTCTTTTAGGTCCAGGACAGAGAAATGAGTAGTATTGAGAGGAATGTGACTGAGGAGGATATAAGGGTTAGGAACCACAGGAGTGACCAGTGAAATGGCAGAGTTAATGAGGGGGAGGTCTTGGACCAGATGGTAAGAGCCATTGGTCTTGACCACTGGCAGGATGGGGGTATTATATGGTGAACCTATAGGGATAAGGAGTTTTTGTTGGAGGAGCCTAATGTTGATAGCTTGATATCTAGGCAGTGTTTTTGTGAGATAGGAAGTTGGAGTCAGCAGGGAAAAATTTTAGAGTTTTTTGGAACCACAAACACTTTGGAGTGTTGTAGAGCCACTGTGGGGTGGGAAGTGCCCCAGACCTCAGGGGCAACTGGGTAGAGGGTGGAATATGGTGAGCTCAAGGGAAACAAGGCCATCAGGGTGAGGGATTTGAGAGAAGAAAGGGTGATCTGTAATTTAGAGAAAGCATTGTGCCCCAGGAGGGGAGATGGGCACCTATGCATCACTAGGAAAGAGCAAAGGGTCTGGATCCTATTAGGCAGGGCAGGGGACCTGTCATCCTAGGCTGTTGGGGAATGCCCTTGATGCCCACAATGGTTATTTTTGAGGGATATGTTTGGCCAGCATAACTTGAAAGAATAGACCAACCTAATAAGAAGGAAACAGACTCCTTGCCACATGAAGAATTATTCTGGGCTCCTGAGATGTAAGATGAATTTCATCAGAATCCAGGGCCCTCTCAATTATTACCAGCCAGCCCCAGCAGGTCCATCAGGGATGTCTGGCTTGGGTGGATCTGTGGAAGGGGGCGTCCCTCCCGCTGTGTGGAGGGGTAATCCACCTTCCAATGACCTGGTAATTTACAAATTGGGCAAGGCCCGAGACAAGGGTGGGGGAGGGGTCATGGGTTTGTACACAACCTTACCCAGTAGCCTTCCTGCTTATACTTGAAACATGGACCTGATGGGGTCTTACTGCAACAACGTTGAAGAGGGTTTTTGAGTCTGGTCAGGGCGGTTGCCAAGATTTGATCTTTTTGTTTGGTGAGGGCAAGGTTTTCCTCTTTTTCTTGTTCTTCTCTCCCATTAAAGAACAGATTGAGAATATCTCATTGGGGGTGTTGGAGCCCTCCTCAAGGTGATTGAGTTTTTTCATATCAGGGAAGGATTGAGAAATGAAGTGGTTGTTAAGGACCAGCTCTCCCTCAAGGGGTGGTGGAACTTAAGCGGGTGTATCAGATGGGGGCTTCAGTGAACCCAGCCATGAAGGCAGCAGGGTTTTCATCTGTCTATTGACTAATATCTCTAAGTTTTTGCCAGTTGATGGCCTTGAGGGCTGCCTTTTTGAATCCTGCCAATAGACAAAGGATCATGTTGTCACGTGCTTGGGACTCTTGACCATCTGGTTGGTAATTTCACTGGGGGTCCTCTCAGGGAAATGTCTGTGTGCCCAGCTGAAAGGTAGGATCAGTGTGAGGGGTTTCATCCACATGGGCCTGGGCAGCCATGCATTTCCTTTTCCTCAGGCAAAAGGGTGGAGGAGAGGAGTACATAGAGATCATTCCAGGTCATCTGATGAACCTGGGTGAGATACTGGAACTCCTTTATGGAGGCATGGGGTCTGTGGTGAAAGACCCAGTCTTTTTTCAATCTGGGAGAGGTAGAGAAGGGACCAGGGCTGGTAGATATTGACTAGTCCTTCAGCTCTGGCCACCTGAGAAACAGGGAATAGTCTTGACCTAAGCTTATGGGTGGCTGGTTTTAAGCCCTTAGAGCAGGTGTGTGATGAAGGGGGAGATAGGGGATGAGATAGTTTGGGAGGAAAGGAGAGGGTAAAATTTGGCTGGGGTTGGTGGAGGAGAGTTGATGAGGGGTCACAGAGAGCCAAGATGGGGGGGGGCAAGTCCTTCAGGAGAGGAGGAGTGGTTGGTATAGGGCAGTGGAGGGTCTACGACCAGAGAGGTCAAAGGCTGAGGTTGTGAATGGGGCTTGATATGGGGGTGGCTGGTGGCATGAGGGAACGAAGATAGTCTAGGGGATCTGGAATAAAAGGGTCAGTGGGAAAGGGTCATATCGAGGTCTGGTGGGGGCCTTTGCTAGTAGGATCTGTTGGGGACTACATAATAGGCAGAGTTCAGGATGATTGCAGAGAGAAAAGAAAGTGAAGATATAGGGTACCTCAGACTGTTTCCCACTGCATTGACAAAAGTTATCTAAATCAACGAAGGTGTCATAATTAAGAGTTCCCTTGTGGGGATCCGGTAGTCCCATTGTCCCACTTGCATTGTGGTCAGGCAGTCTGACAGAGAAAGATGAGGCATTTGTGTTTGACCTCAGACAGTCTGAGGGGTCCCTTGAGGACCAATTTGAGACAAGAGAGAACAGGGGTGTGGGTGGGTGGGGCAGATGGGGTGTTACCCACTTTGATGAGGAGACTACCCAGAGTGATGAAGTAGCAGAAGAGGGTGAAGGAGAGAGAGAGTAGTGTGAAGGCAAATATCATCTGAGGAGACCTGCAAAAGGAATGAGGGACCAAAGCCCTCCAATCAGTCATCCCAGATCACAGAG